CTAATTAACCTCATTAATTAACCCCATTAATTACCTCCTACTAATTACTCCCTTATTAATTACTCCCTTAATTAGCTTCTCCCATCACCTCCTTGTTCTCTTTTTCCCCCATTGAACCCCAATACTTAAATACCGACTAATTACTTATTAACTACACTCTGCTAATTAATTCCTATTAACCACCGGCTAATTATTAATCGTCGCTCGTTAATTGCGTCCCGTTAATTAATTAATTAAGCCCCACGATGCCGAGCGGATTCCAGCAGATCCAGAATGAGGAGGAGGTAATTGGGGGGGTGGGAGGGGGTTAATTAATGGGCTTAATTAAGTCGAGGGAGCTAATTAAGATGTTAATTAGTGGATATTTAGAGAGAAATAGGGGCGGTGTTATGCTAATGAGGGGTAATTAATTGCCGTTGGGCTAATTAGGGGAGTAATTAGGGGAGTAATTAGGGCAAGAGGGTAATTAGGGGGGGTTGGCAGTAATTAAGGGGGTGATGAGCGGCTAATTATGAGTTGGGACTAATTAGGGGGTAATTAAAGGGGTAATTAGCGCTGTTTGGGGTGTAGGGATAATAAGGGGGGTAATGAGGGGATAATGAGTAATTAGGGAGTAATTAGAGGTTAGGAGGTAATTAAGGGGGTAATTAAGAGGGGTAATTAAGGAGAGGGAGTAATTAGAAGATAATTGGGGGGAATTCGGGGGTTAATTTAGGGTTAATTATGGGCTAGGGGTGTAATTAGGGGCTCATTAAGGCTTAATTAAGAGAGATTAAGGTTTGGGGGTAATGAAGGGATAATTAGTGGGCTATTAGGGGTAATTAGGCGGTAATTAGGGGGGGTTATTAGGAGTAGGGGCCAATTAGGGGGTAATTAGTGGAGCCCTACCGAAGTAATGAGGGAATAATTAAGTGGTTAATTGGGTTTTCGGTGCCTCATTAGCGAGTAAGTGGGGTTTAGGGGATAATTAGGGAGGTAATTAATCGGACTAATTGGGTTTGGGGGGGGATTTAGGGGAGTAAATGTGAGATGAGCGGTAATTAGGGGGTTAATTAGGGGTTAATTGGGCCTGAGAGGGTCATCAGGGGTTAATTGGGGAGTAATTAGGACTGGGAAGGTCATTTGGGTTAATTACAGGGGTAATTAGAGGTCTAATTAGGAGCTTAATTAGGGTTTAGGGGAGTTAACGTTTGGGTATGTGGGGTAATCAGGGGGTTAATTAGGGGTTAATTGGGACAATGAGAGAGTCATTAGGGGTTAATTAGAGGGTTAATTGGGACTGCGAGGGTCATTAGAGGTTAATTGGGGAGTAATTCGGACTGGGAAGGTCATTTGGGTTAATTACAGGGGTAATCAGAGGGCTAATTAGGAGATTAATTAGCGATGGGGGGCATTTAGGGTGGTAATTGTTTGGGGATTGGGAGTGGGGGTTAATTAGGGGTTAATTTGGGGTTAATTAGGGGTTAATTGGGATAGAGCAGGTCATTAGGGGTTAAGTAGGGGTTAATTAGGACCCAGAGGTTCATCTGGGGTTAATTAAGGGGGTAATAAGAGGGGTAATTAGGGCTTAATTAGTGTTGGGGAGCATTTAGGGAAGTTAATGTTTGGGGATGTGGGGTAATTAGGGAGTTAATTAGGAGTTAATTAGGGATTAATTGGGACTGAGAGAATCATTAGGGGTTAATTGGGGGGTAATTAGGACTGAGAAGGTCATTTGGGGTTAATTAAGGGTGTAATTGGGACTGTGAGGGTTATCTGGGGTTAATTAAGGGGGTAATTAGAGGGGTAATTAGGGCTTAATTAGGGTTGAGTTGCATTTAGGATGGTAAATGTTTGGGGATGGGGGGTGGGGGGTAATTAGGGGTTAATTAGGGGTTAATTGGGTCTGAGAGGGTCATTAGGGATTAATTGGGGGGTAATTGGGACTGAGAGGGTTCTCAGAGTTAATTAAGGGGGTGATTAGAGGGCTAATTACGGGCTTAATTAGGATTTAGGGGAGCTAACGTTTGGGGATGTGGGGTAATTAGGGGGTTAATTAGCGGTTAATTAGCGGTTAATTAGCGGTTAATTGGGACTGCGAGGGTCATTAGGGCTTGATTGGGGTTAATTAGGACCGGGAAGGTCATTTGGGTTAAATAAGGGGGTAATTAGAGGGCTAATTAGGGGCTTAATTAGGGTTGGGAGGCGTTTAGGGGAGTTAATGTTTGGGAATGTGGGGTAATTAGGGGGTTAATTAGGGGTTAATTGGGACTGAGAAGGTCATTAGGGGTAAATTAGTGAGTAATTAGGATTGAGATAGATAATTAGAGGGGCAATTAGAGGAGCTATTAGAGCGGTAATTTGCGGGGTAATATGAGGACTAATTAGAGGGTCAATTAGATGGGCAATTAAATGGACAATTAGAGGGATAATTAGTGAGTAATTAGGACTGAAAAGGTCGTCAAGGGGGGCAATTAGAGGGATAATTAGAGGGGTAATTAGAGGTTTAATTAGAGGTGCAAGTAGAGGGGCAGTTAGAGGGGTAATTAGAGAGGTAATTAGAGTGGCAATTAAAGGCGTAATTAGAGGGAGAATTAATGAGCAGTTGGGAGTAAGGGAGTCATTAGGGGGCAATTAGAAGGGCAATTAGAGTGTTAATTAGAGGGGCAATTAGAGGCGCAATTAGAGAGATAACTAGAGAGACAATTAGAGGGATAATTAGAAGGATAATTAGAGGGATAATTAGAAGAATAATTTGAGGGATAATTAAAGGGGCAATTAGGGGGATAATTAGGGGGATAATTAGAGGGATATTTAGAGGGATAATTAGAAGAATAATTTGAGGGATAATTAGAGGAGCAATTAGAGGGATGATTAGGGGGCAATTAGAAGGATAATTAGGATGGCAATTAGAGGGGCAATTAGAGGGATAATTAGAAGATCAATTAGAGAGATAATGAGAAGGGCGATTAGGGGGATAATTAGAAGGATAATTAGAGAGGTAATTAGAGGGGCAATCAGAGAGATGATTAGAGGGGCAATTAGAAGGATAATTAGAGGGGCAATTAGAAGGTTAATTAGAAGGGCAATTAGAGGGGCAATTAGAAGGATAATTAGAAGGTCGATTAGACGGGCAATTAGCTGCATAATTCATTAGGGACTCATTAACACAGAGGCGGTTAATTAGCGCTAATTAGCCGGGATTCATTAAGTCGCGTTTCCACCCCCCCCCCCCCC